CTATGACTAGAGTTCACTATTGTCCAGAGACCAGAATCATAGTTTTACTGCTGGCAACAATCTATGAAATCCTGTCCATGCATTCAATTTATAGCAAAACGGATCTTAGAAAGGTGTGTCAACTTACTCAAGGAGAATGAAATCTAGTGTGCGCGGTATGGTTTGGGCAGGTGATCAGATAACCACTTACTGGATGTTCTGCTTGCTCCGGCCTCTCATTCCCTGCTTCTCTCGGTATCTCTGCCCCAAGCATTACCCTTCCCCTGCCTTAATTCAGTTACTAAACTGTTATAGTCTCGGAAGTTCATTCTACAAAATGATGCGAAATGCAGAAAATGCACAAACAGAATAATGTTGTCCATTGTAGCATGATTCAAAAGAGCATATATATATATATATATATACATATATATATTTCGGGAGGATTGCTTAGTGAATGGTACTCTCAATGAATAGAGTATTGTATAGTCATTAAAGTTATCTTAACACGAAGTTTTAATAACGTGAGGGCATTCATATGTGATAATGTTAAATAAAACTGCAAGGTGTCGACTACATTTTTAAAATGCTTAGAATGAGGGAAATATACCAAAATGCTTACAATGTTGGATTACCAATCATTTTTATTCTCCTAATATATTGGTTTACTTATTTGTATAATGAGGGTATAAGACTCTTAAAGTTAATAAAAAGAAAATACCACATTGGATAATATGATCTAAGTGGTTAGAACTATATAAATTAAAAATACCTAAATTCACTCCTCCATTTTAGGAGCTTGTCCACAAAGTCTGTGCCATGATATGGTTGCACGGACCTGATTTTGTCATATTTCCTGTTTCTTTGCTGAATTTCAGGTATGGCGGATTGCTGACAGGGTGAAGCATGTATTTAAAGGAGAACAGAGGATACAGAGACAGAAACAGAGAAGGAAGGATAAACCGTTGTGAGACAATGTTTTCAGACAGTATATAAGGATCTCATTAACCACTCCCTAAAACTGGAAGGGCTAAATTGAGAATGTAATAAAGTCAAGTTGGGATAGAATGCAAAGAAGCTAAGCAATTGCAGCAATGAGTGTCTTAGGATAGGATGCTTATACTCGTATCTTAAGGAATTGGAGACTATCCCGAATCCTCTGTGTAATTAGGAAATGTTTCTCTATGACACAACCATGTCTTTTTGCGTTTTCTTTTACACTGGAAAAATGGATCAGTAAACTTTACCATGCATCGTGAAAAAAATAACAATCAAAATATGAAACACCCTTATGAAGATGTATTTTCATGGATAGTATGCTGAGTGAAGTTAGTGAAAAGCACTGTTCTTTAAAAAAAAACAAGAAAAGGTTTTCCTAATAAAAGAACCGCTGATCTTAACCAAAGGACTTGCCCCAAACGGGTCGTGTGTAAGTGCATCTCTGCAGATGAGGGGACCCTGGAGTGGTGCAAACGGTGCACATGCTCACCAAAGGGTTGAAAATTTGAGTCCACACAAAGGCACTTTGGAAGGAAGGCCCGGAAACCTACTTCCCCCAAATTAATCCACTGAAAAGCCTATGGAGCATCGTTCTACTCTAACACCCCTCAGGGCACCATGAGTCGGAGTCAACTGGGCAGCAGTTACTGGGGGTGGTAAAGATCAGTAATTGCTCATCAACAGGGCAGATGAGTAGAAAAATTGTTCTTGAAGGGCAAATCAGGCCTTTGATGTTGATTTCCACCTTAATCCCCACTTGTGCCTCTTCACCACATAGAACGTGTTCTTTCTTCCCAAATTATATTCCTTAATTTATCATTTGTTCTTCATGGTTTAAATAATGCCCTCCCCTAACTAACACTTGGCTTACTTTCGTAATTCTTTTGCTTCATAAGCCTTGTTTCACAGCTTGTGGATGTCATAGGATGCACTGTCCTCAGGTCCCAGTGGACTCGTTCTTCCGAGGCCATGAGTGGGTATTTCAGCCCAGCTCAAATTGTTTCCTACCTTTCCAATGCCCTTCCCTTTTCTTCCAACAACCTAGAATATTTCCATATGAGTACATCCAACAAATGGCTACCAGTTGAATAAGAACCTAGATTAGTATAATCATAGCACAACTTGATTAGTAATCAGAGGTTGGGATCCCAGCCTTACTATTAAGTAGCTGTGTTATTTTGGGCATATCTACAGGTCTCGGTTTCCTCATCAAAAAATGATTGTGGGGGCAGGCAGTGGTTGGAGGATATGAAGTCTATAATCTCTAAAATTCTATCATTATTTAATATTACTTTGATTGGGACTATCACAGCCTTACTTTGAGAAAAGCAATAAAGAGAATTTCAAGGAGAGGAAAATTAAAAACAATGGAAATAAAGGCAGATCAAGTAACTACCTATCCAACAGATAAGAGGATGCCAATGTGCCTGGAAATTTAATAAAATAAAGTAGAAACAAATAGAGGAGCAGAGTTTTGGGGAAGACTGAAATATACGTCCTGAATGGGACATATAGGTAGAATATTAATGGAGACCACTGAGAAACTACAACAACTGAATTAGTGGTTAGGAAGGAATAGTGCCTCCCCAGTGAGCTAAACTGAAATCGAATATTAAGAATATCAGCATAGAGACCGTTTCTATTACAATGGAAAAATAAGGTGCAGGCTAACAACTTTCTTATAAAATAAAAATAGAAGTTACTAGTGTTAGAATAGGCATCACATACTACCAACATTTGACCACTAGAAACAATTTTCTTGGACTCCCCCCACCACCTTTTTTGGGATATGACCATTTAAATCAGCTGATTTATGCTAAGTAAATTTAATTTGATTAAATAGTAGAATACTTTCAAATAGTGTAACATCCACTTCATTAAAACTGGGCTTTAGCTGACGGATCATACAATGGAGATCACCTGTGTTCTCCCTGATGGCTGGCTGCACTCTTGGTTAAGCTCTCTGGGGAGGGGTGAATCTGTAGTGGGCAGTGACCTGAAGTCTCTGATGTAGCACTAGGAGCGAAGATTCATTAGGATATCCAAAGAAAGACAACGTCAAAGTTCAGCGAAAAAAAAAATTTAAGCTGCAAATTTAAGAAAGAAAAAGGTATGTCTTTAGAAATTAAAATCTCTGAGCTTTAAAAAAAAGTATTTGAATTGGGTCACAGTTCTTGGATTATCAGCTGAAAAAATTTTCACTGGTATTCAAAATTTATGTGACATTTTAAAAGATTAGATCAATGGAGGTACATGACTGATGAAAGACTAGAAAAAGTCCATGTTAAATAAGATGAAAAGGGGGATTTGAGTGGGGTAAAGGGTGTGGTGAGGGGACGGCGTCATGGACAGGGGAACAACTAGGGAATTGGAACCAGCATGTAGGAGAGGGTAGAGATGCTGTGAGTATTAGAGCAACACCAAGCTCCTG